CTATGGGATGGAGGGAGTATCTCTCAGTGAAAATTCAATTTTGAATCGTTAGCGTAAGTCTACTAGTATTATTGCCATATACTACTGACGCACCAATCCGCATCCTTGGTCCTCCGTTAATTTAGGGCCTGTTCACTTTGATGCCATTTTCAACCATACCTTTTTTAGGAAAGTTGCTAAAGAAATATCTACGTTTAGTTTGTTGTCAAATTTGGTAAATACATTAAAAAAATCGTGCCAAAATTTTAGCAATATTGTCATCTTGCTAAAATTTTGACAATGATTTATTTTGGCTACAATCTAAACAGGCCCTTAACTTCCTCAACCATAACTGTAGTTCCCGGAAGCAACAGAAGGACTTTTTTTCTTTAACGACAAACCCAATAAGCATGCCAATTTCATTGAATATAACATAGAGACTGCAAACAGGGTTGCAAACATCGAAGGTAACAACTTAGTTGTCACAGTTACCCGACATATAATGTCAGGCATGATCAGTATGTTCTACTCTAACTCGAGTTGTAAACAATCAAGTTCACCAGATATGGAATTTTATTGGGTGCTTTTTGTAAGATCTGAAAATAACTTATTCGCGCCGTCTGCGAAAAAGTTGCACTATTTTTTAGCATGCCCAAGTAGTCCAACAGCAGAGTATCTTACTGAAGTGCAAGGATTTATTTGATATTGCATGGTCCCATTCAACAACAGAGTCGCAATTCAATGACGACAGAGCATCTTACAGAATTTTCATCGATCTCTCTTAACACTTCCGTGCTTGTTCTTTCATTTCACTTATGTTGATTTTTTTTTCTGCAAACCCATTTCACGTATATTATATTGATCATTTCTAAGAAAAATCGAATGGTCAACTAATGCAGTGGACGAGTATACGATCAAATTAAAATTCAGTGGCATATATGAACAATGAGATGGAAAAAAAATTAAGAATATAGAAGAGACTAAGGGAAGCAAAATTTTCTCGTCCAAATTTAGGTTGAATTATTATATCAAGGTGCCTAGGCATGGTGACTTGTTTGAGTAAAAATGTTGAGCAATCTTGCTAATGTATGTAGAGGTGGAGGGTCATATACGACATGGTGGGCCGGCTAGCCCAACGTAGCTTACCTTGCCCCACCTGCCCTATCCACTTGAGCATGACTCCACGAAGGCACGTATGAACCCCTTACCCCAACGCCACCACCTTTCGTCATGCTACGATATGAGCCCATGACCCGCTCAAGTTTTACGAATGGTTCTGACGGTTGATTTCTTGCAGGTTCCATGGCGGAGGAGGAGGGAGAATGGGAGAGACAAGGTTGCAGGCTAGGCGATGGCAGTTCATTAGTGGCATCACTATTAGCTCCTATAAATGGACTGTGCTAATACCCAAATTTGGCTCCTAGGGTAAGAAATAGAAAAACAATAGCCAAACTTGGGGGAAAAAAAAACCCTTACTTGCCACGCGAGGCCGATTTGACCGTAGCCATTAGGCCTATCAGACCGATGACAGGGGGATGGTCTGACCGGTGGCATATGGCCGGTCAGACCGGCATAGTACGACTCCGAGTCCGATTTGTCCGTTCTCAGGTTTTCTTGCTAAGGCCTGAGATTTTAGAGTCCTAATTGGTTTCTAGACCTAACCGGACATGGAAAATACCCTGTAAAGCAAGTCCACCACTTCTATAAATATAAGAGGGCTAAGGCCGATTGAAACAACAACCAATCAATCGTCAAAATCAATTTAGTATCCAAAGTCTAAACACTCTATATTCTACATCTCCCTACTTCTTGCTACCTATCCCAAGCATATTCTCCTCAAATCCCCCAATTGCCCGTCATCTCTCATCTCTATGACGTTAGAGGATGTCCTAGTTGGCATGCCGAGGCTAGGACAAACCGGCGCGTGTTCTTCATGACGGGGTCTCTCCCGGGTGTTTGTTCGGCAGCATCTACCCACTCCTTATGGCGGCGAGTCTCCGAGTACCGCCGTGGGTTGCACATAACGTGCTAAAGGTGTGGCGGCGTGATTGTACATCAATAGATTGAATCACCATAAGCTTTTTCAATTGTCTTTCTATGGTGCTGCATTTACTTGGTTTATTTCACTTGCACCCAATTCTATACAGGATTGGTTTCAGTTACAACAAAAAATTCATGATTACTTCTTTAGTTTTTTTTAGAAACTTCTATAGTGGTAATATCAAATTAAACTTGATGCACATAACATCGGTTAAACAAAAGTATAATGAGTCTGTTTTAGAATACATTAGAAAATTTAGATACACAAGAAACCAATGTTATAGTTTAACACTTTCTAATAAGGACTTGGTATATTTGACTTATTCCGGTTTACTTTAGTATTTAAAGAAAATCTAGATGGTCATAGTTTCTTAGATGTAAGCCAATTACTTCAAAAATCTCTGGCTCAAGAAAGCCGAGTTAGAGAAGCCAAAATCTCACAAAAAGTTCGGTCTAATCGTCCCATGTGAATACAGTCAATGAAGTCAAATCTTCGGACGATGAGACGACCGATATATATACGCAGCCGAATGGGCTTGGTCCTCTAAGTCCAAACCATTCGTTTGCTCTACTCTTAAACCGATTGGGCACAATAATTAGCAAGAGGAAGTAAAGTTCAAGTTTGATGTGGCCAAATGCGATAGGATCTTCGACTACGTGTTAGAGAACAAGCAAATCAAATTGTCATAAGGCTATGTCAGACCATCACTTGACGAATTAAAGTGGCGAGCATATTGCAAGTGGCACAACGCTTATTCTCATGCCACCAATGATTGCAGTGCATTTTGTAGACAAGTTCAATCAATCATTAACGAAAGACGATTAGTATATAGAAAGATGCAAGTAGATGAGTCATGTTTTCATATACACAACACTGAATTTCAAGAGGACAAGATCCCCAATGACAAAGAGAAGGCCACTTCAAAAACATCAATGCTTGGGGGGCAAGATGACAAGACAGAGATTCCAAAAGATGATAAGTGATCAAGGAGATCAAGTTCACCTACCAAGCGAGATGGGAGACGAGCGAGAACGGACCATCGGCAGCCTACTTCTCCTTCTTCATGGTATTACCCTTCGCATGCACCATAAAGTTTCAACGGGACGTGGATGGTGCCTACTTTTATACTGTATTATTATGCATTATGGACATTGCCACAAAGACCGATTTTGTATAATCAGTCGTGCTCTTCTCATAGCCGGTTGAGAGAAAAAAAATCGGTTACAAAGGAATCAACGCAAAAAAAGTGGCGAGGCAAGAGTGGAGGCCAAAGAAAAACAAAACACAATCTAAACTAGAGGGGGTCTCTCCTAGTATCCTTGTATCATCATTGAACACATAAGCCTTTGAGGCATGTATGGCCGATATTAGTGGATATTGTCCTTACATAACCCCGAGCTTAGTGCTTTTCAGACCACAAGTTCACTAAAAGGCAGGGGGCATGTGTTAATACCCAAATTCGGCTCATAGAGTATGAAATATGAAACTATAGCCAAATTTGAAAAGAACCCAGACTTGCCACGTGAGGCCGGTCAAACCAACGGCATGTGGCCAGTCAAACCAGCAAAGTCCAACTCCGAGTCCGATTTGTCGATTCTTAGATTTCTTTGTTAAGTTCTAATATTTTTAGAGTCCTAATTGGTTTATACACCCAATTGGGCGTGAAAAAGACTCTACGAAGCAAGTCCACCGCTCCTATAAATATAAGGGGGCTAAGACCGATTGAAACAAGAACTAATCAATCGTCAGAATCAATTTAGTATCCAAACACTCTATATTCTACACCTCCCTCCCTCTTGCTACCTATTCCAAGTCTATTCTCCTCAAATCCCTCAATTGCTCGTCGTCTCTCATCTCTACGACGTTAGAGGATGTCCTAGCTGGCCTGCCGAGCCTAGGATAAACCGACACGTGTTCACCCTGACGGGGTCCCTCCCAGGTGTTCGTTAGGCGGCATTTACCCACCCCCTATGGCGATGCGTCTCCGGGTGCCGTCGTGGGTTGCACATAGCGTTCTCAAGGTGTGGCGGTGCGATTTTACATCAACAGATTGAATCATCATAGGTCTATCCCATTTTTTTAGGTGTGCTCCGCCATTGGTAATGCAAGTGTACATACGATTTGGGTTAATTATAGATCAATCACTGCTTGGAGATGCATAAGTTCTCCAATAAATTAATACCACCTATTCTTTTTGTGTGATATAACTTATGTGCTACATATTTTCAACCAATTGTGTGTGGACAAAAGCATACCAAGTTGCCCACTTTGTGCAATCCAATTGATTTCATTTGGAACCAAATTCTTGATATTTTTTGAGGATAAAAAACCGACAAGAAAAATACAGTCCCTTGTTACGAATTATTTTTCTAATGTTATCTCACTAACCATGTACCTACAGGAAAATGAGCACATGGAAATTGGTGACCTAGACAGAAAATTTTGGAACCACCCTGAAAGATTGTATTTCTAGTAGTATGTGTTTTACATGATGGCCGATCGTTCCAGTGTTATATTGGGGGAACAAACCATATCAAGTCAATTTCTACCTACTTTGTGCGCAAGACAGTAGCACAAAGACCGTAATAAAAAGAGTTTTACTACTATCTCCATCCCAAATATAACTATTTGTGGGCTATGTATCTTGATATATAATTGTCTAGATACATAATTAGAAATCGTTATATTTTAGAATGGAAGTAATGTCTCAGTAAGATCAAACTACTACGGGCCTGTTCACTTTGATGCCAAAAAAAAACCTTACCAAATTTGGTAAGTTGCCAAAATTTTGGTAACTTGCCAAAATTTTAGTAGGATTTCTTATATAGTTACCAAAATTTGGTAGCAAACTAAATATAGCCACTTTTTGAGAAACTTTACCAAAATTTGGTAAGGTTGAAAATGGCATCAAAGTGAATAGACCCTACCATTTCTTTCTTTTGTTTTTTTTCTTCATTTACCAACGTGCCATCACTATTGCTGTTCTGAACATTGTCACAATCTCATCAAAGGGTTTGAGAGTATAGGGAGTGTTGAGATCTTTAACAGAACACATATCTAATATCGGTTATATTTGAGTACATTCTGTCGTTATCTCTTGTACAAATGTCGCAGAGATATATAGCTCTGTAACAACTTCGTTGTCTTGTCATCATGGGCAATGTCCGACAACAGGCTATACATATAAGCATACGCTGTTTGAGATGGACAGGATCGCTTTTTTTTCTCTCTCTTTGCCCCCATTTCTTCCGTTTTATGTGAGAGCGTCCATAAGCTTTCTTGATCATAGTCCAAGAAGGATGTAGTACAGCAATGTGATTGGAAGAGCTATTAGCATGCCAAAAATTACCCTGTAAAAAGTGACAATTTGCCCAGAATAAATATAAACACCATCCAAACAAAAATATCAGCAAGCAAAACAAGCAAAGGAAATTGCTTACGCTGTGCTCAGGATGGCCGGGTGGACATTGTATTCTTTTGCAAAAACAAAAGGCACAATCCCTTGTGGTAGAGCCGCCTATCAAATCGAATTCCCAGATATATATATCAATGAGCATTAGCTTCACATATACTAGTAGTATATAATGCACAGGGAAATAAATTGCTCGAATGATTGATACTACTCCAGTAAGTACTACCTCCGTCCCATATTACTTGTCTTTTTGAGTTTTTTTATCAATGTTTGATCATTCGTCTTATTCAAAAAATTTTGAAATTATTATTTATTTTGTTTGTCATTTGCTTTATTATCAAAAGTACTTTACATATGACTTATCTTTTTTTTATATTTGCACTGATTTTTCAAATAAAATGAATGGTCAAACGTTGCAAATAAAAAGTCAAAAACGTCACCTATTATGGGACGGAGGGAGTACATATGTTCCAGTAAAGAAGCTGATGGAATCATATATACGGAGGGCCTGTTTGGTACAGCTCCAACTCCTAAATTTAACTCCAGGAGTTGAGTCTGGAGTGGAGTTGTGGAGTTGCCTAAACCTAGCTCCACAACTCTAGTTTATTTTGTGAGAGAACTCTACCCAGCTCCATTCCCAGTTCTGGTGGAGCTGAAACTGTTTGACTGAGCTCTAGCTCAGTTCTAGTGGAGCTGAAACTGTTTGACTCCAGGAGGGGTGGAGCTGGAGCTGTGCCAAACAGGCCCAGAGTATATAAGCCAGGGTCTGACAGATCAGAACCCCGACCCTGTATACGCTGCTGGCAAAGCCAAACGCCCCCACACATGATAAGCTTGTCTACCAAATTTTATAATTGGCATAAGGGAGAAATTAAATTATCACTTTGCACGGGTTGCTTACTGTAGTAACTTCTTTTAGATGCATGCATATAGGACTGGTTTGGTTTGAGATCTAAATTAGGCTTACCAATATTTATCAATTTCAATAGTATTTAGTGTCTATTTGGTTTGAAGCCAAATTTTGGCATGCCTAAAAAATAGGCCATTTCAATAGTGAACTTAGGCTATTTTGGCTTCAATCCAAACACAACTTTGCTTTACCAAAATTAGTCATGCTAAAACTTGCCAAAATTTAGTATTGACAAAATTTAGTAAGATGTATTTAGGCCACAAACCAAACCAACCCATAGTTACCTGAACAATGGCGACGTGCAGGAGCGTCCCGCGGAGTCCGATGGCGATTGACGCGGCGGCCATGACGGCAGGGCCCGCGAGGAAGCGGACGGCCATGGAGACGACGGCGGCTGATTTGCCACACGCGATGATGCTGGGCTGCAGCGCCATGAACAATCCTGGCCACGAGACAGTTTGACAGCGTTAGCTCGAGCGCGGGCCAGTGGGCACCAGTGCGTGTGAAGAGGGATTAATTGCGGAGCAATGCGGTGTAGGGCTACGGGAAGACATGAGCACAAGGGGCGTGGGCACCCACCCAGGCTAAACATGGCCATCCCCAGGCCTGCGTCCGAGAGAATGGAGATGGACTTCTCGACGATTGCTGGCATGGAGACGTGCCACCTGTGACCCATGAACACATTGCCCGTTGGTTAGCTCCCGGAACAGTAAATATCAACATCATTAGCCACTAGAGATGATAAAATAACAACAGGTGTGCTCTTATGATGATTAGTAGTAGTAGTAGATGCAGGTTACTCCAAAGGAAACGGGGCCAATCGTTCATGGTTCCTTGCTTGGAAACGCTATTGTGTGACTGTGTTTGGTAGACTGGCTCGACGACGACCAGTGCTCGCGCGCCGTGCAAATTCTGCCTTTTTCAGCTCCTACAGTTCGCGATTGGTGCCGACCGGGCCCGCGGCGGTGGTCCGTGCCGGCGGGAAACTCACTCACCTCGTCGGCCCACCACCGCCGTTTGGGGATCCGTAAAAAAGCTGCTTTTCGGTTATTCCCACCGCCACGGCACGTACGCCCCCGGGCAGTTTCGGTGCTTCCTAGCCTACCGCCTACGCGCTACCCACTCCCTCTGGCTTCGCCGAGAATAATATCGCTCTCGCGCTTATCATCACCAACACCATCGCGGTCCTCGATCCTCGCCGAACTTGTCGTCTCTGTCGAGTGAAATCACCTTATCACCCGAACTAACTTAGGCAGTAGAAAAAATGAGTAATTGCACAGGTCACGTGAAAAAGGTAGGTTAATCTTCGGAGAGAGGGAAAAAGAAAAAACGGCGTACCGGAAGGCGACGAGGGACCAGGCGAGGCCGAGGAGGCTGGAGTAAGTGTTGGGGTTGCGGATGAGCTTGCGCCACACCATTATGAGGATGAGGCGTGTCATCACGCTCGCCGGCGGCATTTGGTACTGCCCCGCGCCCGCGGCGCCGCCGCCGGCGTTCGGTCCGTCGACGTCGACGACCTTCGGGTGCAGCTCCGCCGTCGAGCTCGACCCCATCTTCGTCAGCCCGTCAGGCAAGGCCGCCTCCTCGTCTACTGCCTCGGCGCCGTCCACCGTCTTGCCGCCTCCGAAGCTGAAGTTCTCTCCGCCGCCGCCGCCACCCAATGCCACTGCGCCGTACTCCTCGTGCTCTGAAAATGTAGAAAATTTGGGAAGGTCTATGTTTAGAGTTGCACATGGAGCCCGTGATTAAGTGACAGTACTACTACTGCGGCATTAATGTCGGGACGGACCTTTGCCTGAGCCGTTGTTCTGCGGCAGGTCGGCGGGGATGACCATGTGGATTTCCTTGGCGCCGACGTCGAGAGCGCCGCCGCCGCCGCCGCCACTGAACACAGGCAGGCCGCTGACTTCTGAGACGGGAGACGCGCTCGAGCTCCACACGAACATGTGGAGCTCCTTGGCATCGTGGTTGAGTGCCCCCGTGGTCGTTGCCGGTGGTTTCGGCGGCCGTGCCGAGTGCTCGTCGAAGTTGGACTGCCTCGGGGTTGGGCCCCGCGACGATTGCAGCGAGTAGAGCTCGGAGGCGCCGAAGCTCGAGCCGCGCACCGCAGCGGGCGTCGGGGGCGGTGGCCCGCCGCCGACCATGGCGAAGAAGTCGGCGTGGTTGAAGTTGGAGCCCCGCGGGGTTGGGTTCCGCGACGAGCTAAGCGAGTAGATCTCCGCTCCCGTCAGGTTCGACGGCCGCGGCGTGACCAGCAGCGACCGCCGCGACACCGAGGACCGGCGCACGGTGACGTGCAGCCGCCCGTCCGCCGCCACCTCGGCCTCCGTCTCCGCGTGGCCGCCCTCCAGCGACACCACGTCCGGGTCGACGTGCAGGGACACGATGGACGCCGCCGTGTCCGGGAACTGGTCGGCGATCAGCATCCGCGCGGCGCGGAACTCGAAGAGGAAGAGCATCAGCGTGTACCAGATGATGCACTGGAGCACGACGATCTGGACCATGAGCGAGCCGGAGTATGGCCCGTACATGGCGATCAGCAGCGGGATCCCCATGACGAGCGTGTTGGGCAGCGTGGAGAGGGAGAAGAGCGTGATGGACCAGTCCAGCCGCGGCGCGCCGGTCCGCGAGGGGAGGCGCGACCACGCGGCGAGCCCCGCCAGGACGAGCAGCTTCTGCAGCGTGTCCGCCGCCAGGAAGCGGAGGTTCATGGCGTACGGGTCGTTGGTGGAGATGAAGTGGAAGGACAGGAGCGGCACGGCGAAGATGGCGACGAAGCGGTTGATGCCGGAGCACTGGTCCGGCGTGAAGATGCCCCACCACCGCACCGACCCGTACGCCAGGAACATCGCCACGTACAGCGGCACCACCGCCGCCATCACCGTGTAGAAGTCGTGCCCGGATATCATCTCCTCAGCCTATCTCAATCCAACGCGCCCGGCGGTGGATCGAGTGCCTGAGCGAGCTAGAACTAGCTAGTTATACATGCAGGAGCGGCCGAGTGGAGTGGCTTCTTGCTAACTCGGAGAACTCGGGGTCAGCCACTTATAGGCTGCGTCCAAGTCCAACGAGCACAGAGTTGAGGAGCGGTCTACATTCTCCCGTCATCCAGGCTCCAGGGTGGATTTTACTGTAAAAACATGAGAGATTTTGAATGCGCGATCGTGACTGACCCACCAGTGGGCGTGTGCTTCATAAGAAACGATCAATGTTTCGCTCGGAGGTGCAAATTAAGCCCGTAGTTCATGCGCGCACATGTACAAGCTAGCGTTGTGATACACAATGCAATGGGTACCGGGGGTATATAGATTGCATCTTGGCGATGGATTTGCATCACTGGATGCGAATAGAGTCATAGAGGCATTGCTGCTCTGAAGATAGATTTGCATTGCTCCGTGAAACCGATCGATTGATCTTATCGGTTATGTACGTGGTGGGCTTTTTCCGTGACTATGCAAGCTGATGATCGAGCGCGCGTACGGGATACTGCAGAAGTTGTACTGTTGGTTTGGTACCACTGTCTGCACTTATCCGGCTCTCACGGTGCCCCGACCGTCCATGAATGTTTGGACTCGAGAACACTAGCTACTCCAGCTAGCAGCTACTCCCTCCGTACTATATTTTGGGACGGATGTAGTACAACAATACGTGTGAAAGACTAGTGTTCCAATATGCAAATAACAGTAGCTCGGTATTGTTGAAGTACTATAGCAACAAATCAACAAAGATTGGATTAGTTAAACTATTGAAATTGCGCATTTTAGTGTCTTCTTGGTTTATACATGAACAAGTGCTATACAACCGAATGGCGAATGGTAAACTCGTGCAAGATCGAGGGGATGTTCCCTCATATAAATTTTTCTTTCAATTTCGATATAAATAGTTATGAAAGATTTTTTAAAAAATTGACAATATAAAGTATAATGATATCTATCAGTCCAAAAAAAAACAAGTTTAAATTCGACTTACACATTGAGAAAAAAAGTGACAAATTCATATATGAACATTATATTATGCTACTATTCATATGTTGGATTTGTCTCCCTTTTTTATATCTCGATGTGTGAGTTGAGTTTAGATAAAAAAATTTATGGAGTTGTATAGATATGTTGTATGAGTGTTATCATATTTTTTTAAAAAGAAATTCATAACCGTTTGGATGGTTTTTAATTAAACGAACAAGGCAATATCCTCTTGAGGCATCAAAATAGTCTCCCGCAAGATTACAGAGGTTTGTCTATGGATCGCCTTCTTGAGAGGGCCAACGAGGTACATTCTTTTGTGTTGAATGGCTGAACGGTTAAATAGCTGAATGATTTGCGAATTACTTTAGGGCACAAATGGATATATTTAGTATCATAAAGCTGCATACTGGATTTAAAACTTTTTTTATGAAATATATGTATGAATTTTTTTTACAAAAATTGTAATGTTTAAGAGCATGATCGAGAAGCGTGGAGTGTGGACATCCATCCCTCATTCTATTCCTTAAAAAAATAACAAGGCAGGCTGGTTGCTAGCTTGCATGAAAGAGAATGTGGCCGATTGACTTGGGGAAGAACTCTATTTTAATGTATTGCAAAAGATTGCGCTTGGCTAGTGATGATTGCTTAATCATATGCTAAGATGTACTTATCTCCGTTTTCGTGGGACAAAATTTTAAAATCTTAATAATTCATTAATATACAAAACTTTTTATATTAAAAAATATCAATAGAATTGTCATGAAATATATTTTCACATTGATATAGTTTTATTTCGAATAAACACCTAATTAACAAAAAAAATGTATTAAAAACTATTTGATGTCCAAAATACCAAGGAAAAAGGAATATAGGGACAAGGGAGAGAGTATGTACGTGGTACATTGTCACACCCAGATTATGCACTGCCGTACAACAACACATGACAAGGGCGTGCTGTAGGAAAACGGCGTAAACCGCTCCCTACGAGACCAAGATACCAATACCAATCACATGACACAACATTGGTACTCACAGAAACACTTATGAATCATTGTGATCCTTAATTTAAGTGGAAGGAAGCAGCAACGACAGCTGCGGACCCAAGGACTAACTCCCAACACCACATGCAAGCAACGGTTGTGAACCAAGATGAAACCTAATTTTCATTTCACTTCAACTTTACCTTTAGAGCAGAGAGAACTATATATGCATAGAGCAAGGGTGGGTATTTACGTACTTAACAAGCCTGGGAAACTTAGGTGTTTTATGCAAACTTTTAAGGGATGCTGGCTATTTTGCAATTGGGTTTGTTTTAAGGGTTAATTGGGCCCATACCACTACAAATATGACACTTTAGATAAATGTCACTATTATTCACGATATCGGCTATGTGCCACTGCAATTTGGGGAAATTGTAAACGTGGCACTCCGTCATGTTTTCCGTCCTCAATGTGGGATCCACATATCAGTTCCATGTTCCTCCATCCGCCTCTTCTTTTTTCCGCACGTCCGGTTGAGGCTAACGAAGATTTTTGACGGAAAACGCGACAGAGTGGCACGGTTCCAATTTCCCCAAATTCCAGTGGCACGTAGCCGATATCATGAATAGTAGTGGTATTTATCTAAAATGGCATATTTGTAGTGGCATGGATACAATTAACCCTTGTTTTAAAGCTTTGAATAATATAAGTGTTTGCTTTTCCACAACAGAGAAAGACAAAGTCTACTGACTTTCCAAGTTTGCACAAGTAGCAGAGTTGGCCTCAAAGCGAGTTTCCTGAGCCATTCCATTTCAGTACTCCTAGAGTCCCATAGTTCAAGACATCCATTTACTTTCATGGACTTCCTAAGTCCCCTGTCTCCCTGATAGCCATTTATTTCCAGCCCAAGCATCACGTTTCCCAAACCACAACAATGTTTCACAAAGCACAATATAAACAAAAACTATGCTAAGGAATCACTTCACATCCGCCCATGACCCTTCTACACAGTCGTTTGAACAACTAGTTAACTCTATAGAGGGGTACACTTTACCCCCAAGCTGACGCTACTAACTGGGTCACACAACCTGTGCAGAACATCCACATATGATGACTTTGAGGCTTTCATGATAAGGCATTTTGAAAGATGACACAAGGTTACCTCATGCCAACTAAAGGGGTCCTTGGACTAACAACAGGCTAGATCCTAGACCATGCTAGCAAGGAATCCCAAGGGTTCTCCTCGACACCACCTCGACGATGCAGTCCATTGGTATTCAAGGCTTCCCTGGCCTAGCTAGTTCCTTAGCCGGGAGTGTTCCACTTAACCCATGTGGTCGTACTTACATGTTCGGATGTAGTTTAAAGGATAGTCCTTACGAGCAACCACCAATGCATCTCGCCCAATAATGACCCTGTGTCGCGAGTTTTCTCATAAACTCATATTCTTTCGCAGGCACTAACCCACGTGTCAGATTTTTCAAAGCTTTTTAGAAACAAGTTTCACCCAAGTTGTTCTCAGATTTAAAGATTGAGGGCTACCGTCAATATTCTTACAAGGTTGCACAAATACCAACATACAACAAAGGTGGTTACAAGGGAACATGATATAGCTATTATGAAGGAAAGATAAAATGCAACAGGGTTAGGTAGGCATATCATTCCATCTTGTAGACGAGGCGAAACATTTGCAAGTGCACGCCAATTGACGCATAATCAATTTACAAACAACAAACTTAAGTTCAAATATGGGCACAATGTAACGCCCCGATTTTTGTTCGGAATTAAAAATCATTTAATAATGCATTTCCTAGAAATTAAATAAAAAGTTAAGCAATTTATCCAAGTGAATTATTGGGAGAATTAAAATTTTCCCTTTAAAAATCATTGGCCGGGAATATTTTGTAGTATTCTTTGTGCCCTAAAATACTCTCTGAAATTTCCCGCGAATTTTTGGAGCTCATGAAATAATTTTAAAAGCACCAAGTTCATTTTAACCAACTAAATAAAAAGAAAAACAATTAAAATCTCCCTTTCTCTCTTTGGGCCATTTTCGGCCCAAGTCTTCCTTCCCTCCCGCGGCCCGCGCGCCTCCTCCCTCTCTCGGGCCGGCTCCCTTCTCCCTTGGCCCGCTTGCAAAAGTCTGTTTTGCGTCCCTCCTTCTCTCCCTTCGCCGACAGGTGGGACCGGCGGTCCCACCTGTCAGCTCCTCCTCCTACCTCTCGCCGGCCAACCCCAACCGCCATTGCCGCCCACGTCGCCGCAAAATCCGGCGCCCTCTCGCACCCGAGCTCGCATCCAATGACGTGGGCACGATCCCCTGCACGTCCTCCACCATTTTCCTCGCTCGTCCCACAAAAACCGGCGCCGGCCGAGCCGCCATCACCCCGCGTCGGCGCCCCACTTCCCCGGCGGTTGCCGCCCCGACTCCGCCTCTCCCGTGCTCGATCCGGCCTCCCCTCCCCTATAGAAACATTCCCCGCATCTCCCTCTCCATTTTCCCCTTGTTTCCCGAGCCCGGCACTCTCTCCCTCGCTCTCCCCACGCCGCTCCCGCGCGCCGCCACACTTCGGCGAACTCCGGCCGCCGTTTCCCGTCGCTAGGGTCGCCGCCGCACTGCTCCGCCGCCACCGCCAGCTTTGCCACCGCCCGGGCAAGCTCAGCCACCGCTCCATTTCCCCTCTCCACCTCCGTAGCGCCGTAGCCACGTGAACCACCTCTCTTCGCCGCCGCCGCCGACTCCAGCCGCGTCGCGCCGCCGCTTCGGTCGACGCCGACCCGCGCCGTTGCCTCCCTCAGCTCCGCAAGGACGAGGAGGACCTCGGCCGCCGCCCCTCTTCGCCGGAAATCCGCCGGAGCTCCTCCTTCCTCGGTTGTCGGTGAGATCCTTCTCATATTGTCGCGGTCGGCCGTCGTTACCGGTCACCCCGCATCGGTCCTCCCCTCCCCAACTCCCTCTTCTCCTTCTGAAGGTCAAGGGCGACCCCGTCCGCCCTCCGTCCTCGCAAGCCGCCATCGGGCAATCGTCGTCGCTGTCATCTTCCTCCGCGCCGGCTGCCGCTTCCGGTGAGGACCTCTCCTCCCTTCCTTTTTTTTCCCGTCCCCCTTTCTTGCCGACCTCCGCCTCTTGGGGTGCGTCGCGGTCGCCGTGCGCGCTGCTGTCCTCCGGCCGCCCGCCGCCGTTC